TGTCCCTGTCGCCTTTTCACCCCCAGTAGCAAGGTGGCCACCGCCTCAGAGCTTATTGAAAAGCCAGGTATGAGCTGGTGGTGACAGGGCAACTGCAGCCTCATGGGGTGGGGGGCAGTACCGGCTTGTCCTTCACGCCCTACCGAGATCATGAGTTGGCCCCCACGAGCAGCTCTCTGGCAAGGCCATAGCACCAGATGCACAGAAATAAATCTTGTAATTATCTGACTCTTGACAGAAATTCCTCCAGACTTTATTAGTAAAATATCTGAAATCCAAAATTGCGTGGCGGCTATTGTGACCGCACAACATCATATGGTTCTTATAACTAGCTATAGAAAACAAATTATTTCACAATGTCTTTTCAGCAGTTCTGATTGTTGGGGGGAAATTCTAAACAATAATGGTGCATCTTTTGTCGAAATAATGAATGTAATCAAAGTAGAGAGAGAGTTAAGTAGAAATCATCTGCCTCACAGGCATCGGGAAGGGTGAAAGGGGGGTACACTGGGGTGAAAAATAAGTACTGGTGAAGGGAAGGGTGTTTTATCATTGTATGACCGAGACTTAAACCTGAAAGCTTTGTAACTTTTCCCACAGTGATTCAATAAATAAATATAACAAAAAAAAGAAAAGAAAAGAAAGAACATGTAGGGGAAAATGAGATCTGGAGGCGTCATAGAGACACTGGTGGAGATTTGTGGTCATTCATGATGGATTAGTGGTGATAGGTACAGTAATTTTGTACATAGATACCATACTTTAAAACTACTGTAACAAACTAAAACATAATTAAAATAGTCATGGTCAAAGAAAAAAAACCATTAAGCAGTACTCAAACCAACATGAAGAAAGAATACATATAAACTATATTAGGTAAATATAAAATTCAATGAAAGTACAATCTTTCTAACTTTTTCACTTTTTTTTGTTGCTTTTTTTGAGGTAGTCATACCCAGCTATGCACAGGGTCCTGTCTCTGCACTCAGGAATTACTCCTGGCGGTGCTTAGGGGATCATGATCATATGGGATGCTGGGAATTAAACTCGGGTTGGCCGTGTGCAAGGCAATGACCCTACCCACTGTGCTATCACTCCAGCCCCAAACTTTTTCATTTTTAATTTAGAAAATACCATAGAGGCCCTGGGAATGCCTCAGTGTTAAAGAACTTTCCTTGCAACCACGAGGCCATGTGCTCTATCTTGGCACCAGTCATAGACTTTTAGTACAATCTCAGTTGCACTGTACTTGGGATCTCTGGTGTCACAATAAAAGAGTATGGTTACCCTCGGCAAGTGCAACAATTAGCATGAGCATTGAAAACAAGTGTGCAAACCCTGGTGAGCACCACAACCCAATATGGGAGTATCAAGTGTTTGGGATCTCTAGTCATGACCACCATCACCACCCAAAAAAAGAGAGGGGAGGATGGAAGGGCATGTATATATATATATATATCACGATCATGACCATCCTGTTGTTCGTCCATTGCCTCGAGCAGGCCCCAGTAACGTCTCCTTCGTCCTAGCCCTGAGATTTTTTTAAAAGTGCCATATTAAAGGCTCTTTCAGGGTTAGGAGAATGAGCCCCATCATTGTTACTGGTATTTAGCATATTGGGTACACCATGGGGAGTTTGCCAGACTCTGCCGTGTGTGCAGGTTACATTTGGTAGCCTGCCATTTTGTCCAAAGTAAGAATGAGTTAATAAGATGTGCGCTTCCGGGAGCTGGGTTTTGTAGTCTCTGGGTCTTGGCCATTGATGGCATTACATGGCGCCTGGGGGCCAGTTGGTGGGTGTGTGTATATATATATATATATATATATACACATATATATATATATATACACACACACATATATATGTATATATATACACACACATATATGTATATATATAATGTGTGTATATAATTTTAAAATGAGTCTGTATTATATAAATGAAGACGGGGAGGAAAAATATCAAGTGGGGTAACAAGAAATGTTCAGAAGGTAATAGGGGTAACAGGGGTAGGGGGCAGGGCCTGAGGCACACCAGGGGTGTAAAGGTGATATATATATATATATATATATATATATGTATATATATATATCACAAAGTCAACAATACTGGAGCATAGATCCAAACTACAACAATCAAATGTAAAAATGTGCCTGCCAAGGGGCTGAATGATAGTACAGAAGGCAGGAAATTTGCCTTGCATGCAGATGATCTGAGTTTGATTTCTGGCATCTCATATGGGTACACTGAGCACTGACAGAAGTAATTCCTAAATACAGAGCTGTAAGTAACCCCTGTAAATTTCTGGGTGTAGTCTAAATCCTCTGCTCTGTCCCTCCTTACACAAATGTGCCTGTCAAGGAGACAGGCTGGGAGGGGTGGGGAGACCTGGGGACATTGGTCGTGGGACTGTTGTTGGAATACTGCATGCCTAAAACTCAACTATGAATCACTTTGCATTTTGAAATTAATTAAAAAGATGAAAAAAACCAAAACTGCATGAAGCAATACCTAGAAATCCCTGAGTATGGGGACACTAAGTCTAAAATATGATTGGCAACAATGGCATAAGAGGGGGTAACAATGGAGTCATATGTCAGCAAATTTTTTTTCCAGTTAAGTTTTGGCCCAAGCAGTGCTGGGGCTACCAAGGCTATCTCAGTGTTTCTTGGGTCACCACACATGCTAGGACTTAAACCTAGGACCTCTGCATGCCAGTATGTACTCTAATCCTTTGAGCTAGCTCTCGGATTCTTTAGAAGATTTTTTTGAGAGTCCTTATTTAGGGCCACACCTGGGGCTTACACTGGGCTCTGTGCCTATAGATCACTCCTCCTGGTGCTTGGGGATGATATGCAATACTTGGAGATCAAACCAGGATTAGCTATGCGCAAGACAAGTGCCTTATTCCCTGTAAGATCTCTCTGGCAGCATCTTTATGTAATTAAAAATTTAAGTTAAAAACATCTAAAAAAAACTATTAGGGTCTGAACTATTGCTCAAAGAGGTGGAGTGCATGCCTTGGCAGGTATTATGCCAATAAGCCACACATCCCTGTGCCAGGAGCAAAGTTTTGTATAAATTTGAAATTAAGTATTAATTTGATCTTAATGTTAATTATAACAGACCATCTATTCAGAAAAAGAAGAAAATGATCAACTATGGATAGTTTAAGATGAGATTTGAGAACTGTTACTTAATAGCACCGAATGGTTTTACGAAAATGAATAGAATAACACTGACCAGCATGCTTCAGGTACAATGGGAGAAAAGCAGAGAAAGTATCATTTCATTAAGATTTGCTTGAAATGGGGAATAAAGAAACGGAAATAGAGAGGTATTTCAACAGGTTTGTATTCTGATGGGGCTGATGCAGCAGTGGGAAAATAGATGTCCTTTGTGTGTATACAAAAATGAACCCATTTTTTCACATGTGCAAAATGTGTGACAGAACCCCAATGTATCCATCTTTCTCCTTCCACAATTATTAATGACATATTTATCATTTACTTACCCAAAGCCTTATAATGTTTTGAAGCTAATGCTATACAATGTATTATTTCATCTGGAAAATTTCATTATCTCTAATACATAAGGACTCTCAAAACACCTATTAAATACTAACTTGTGGGAATTTTAAATTCCAAGAAAGGGGGGATTTTCAATTAAAAAAAAGATCAGTATAGATTCATTTCACAATGAATAATTTAATCATTAAACAAATTTAATGAGTAAGTTCAATAGCATATCCTGTTGAAGATGCCTTCTTTGTAAAGAATGGCTGGGGGATGAGGGACAGTTCTCTAGTAAATATTCCCTACCTCTCAGGTTCTTTTAAAATAACCTTGGCACTGCTGGAAGGAATAAAGCTGAGTTGTATGGAGGAAACCAACTCCCTCCCTACATGGGTCGGATTTTTAACGTGCACAGAGGTGCACGGAGCAGGATTAAAATTACCCTCTCTTCCAGTTGAAGTCTGACTGAGTAGTTTGTAAACAGGGACAAGCAGAATGAAACAAGGAATCCATTATCCCATGAGCAGGCGTTGGGTCCCTAAACTGTCAGGGATTGGTGGAATCCCGGTTATAAGAAGTTAATATGGGAGGGAAATCATGGACACACTCTCAGGTCTAACCCACAGGACTTGATAAAGAGGAAGAAAGAGCGCCAATAGTCCTCCTCAGACCAACTTCCTAGTTCTTAACCCAGTACAGTTTAGGGCAGAGTTACTTGAGACTCAATGACCTGCTTAATGGTTTCTAAAAATAAACTTTCTATTTAAGGTGAAGATGGGGGGGGGAGGGGAGCTGATTCAGGCGACGAAGGTACGTCAAAGTTCCTGTAGAAAAGTAGGGCAACACACACACTTCTAGATTTCATAAACGCCCACCCCTCCACTTTCCCCACTCCACTTTAAATGCATCACCATATAACTTTCATTCCCTAATACTATACCTATTTTCAGAAAGCCAAAAGGTACCATCCTTGGCGGGAATATTTCACGAGCAGCGCGGCCCAACCCGCTCACCCTGAGCTTGACTCCGCCCCACAAGCGCGAAGCGGGCTCCAGGTGAGGCGGAGGAGGCAGCAGCGGCCGCGTGAGAGCAGTGCGTGTCCGCAGCCTCAGACACGCCCCATCCAAAGCCCACACGCTGAGGCCGAGGAGAGAACAGCGGTCAAGCGGGCTAGACGCCAAGCAGTCAGCGGAGCCGCAATCTCCTTTCCCTAGGCGCCCTTGTGTGGAAATGGGGGCGCGGCACTCAGCACAATAAGGGAGGAAGAAGGCTGACCTCCAAGACCACCAAGTGGCCGCAATTCCCTCGGGCCCGCTTTAGTCCCGTCAGCTCCCTCAGCGCCCCTCCTCGCCTCCAAACCGGTTCGAAACCCAGCGAGTACAGCCGCAGAGGCGACCGCGGGGGAAGATACATGGTGGATATCAGCACGCTAGGTGCGGCCACCCGAGAACCAGGACCCCAGCCTTTAGCGCTCCCAACTAGAGGAAAGGCCGCGCGGAGGGAAGGCCTGCGCGCAGAATCGGCTTCCCATTGGCTGCCTTCGCTCCTCTCCCGGTCCCGATTGGCTGCAGGCCGAGGGCCCGGGCTCTACACGCTTCAGGCGCCGCGCGCGTTCGGTTGACAGGAGGCGTCGCAGCCAATGGGAGCAGCCTGGGGGCGGGCCCGCAGACACAGGTTCCTCCGGCGCGGGCCAGTTGGTAAACAGATCGCTAGCGCGTGCCGCGTTGCTAACGCCGCGGCGGGCTTGCTGAGGCGGCGCGGAGGTGACCGTGGATCCCAGCTTCCGGGCAGCCGGGTAAGGCTGCTACTCGTAGGCCGCCGCGTGCCCTGGGCGCCATCTGCCTGTGGCCCGAGCTGGGCTCACCAGCCGCCGGAACCCTTCTGACGTCCTCCACAAATGACAGCGCAGACGCCCCCTTGCGGGTCTCCGTCGCCGCGAGCCCCGAGTCCGGGCGCGGTGGGCGCGCCTCAGGAGGCTGGCCGGGGGTGGTCGTCTCCGACACCCCCTGCTCACCTCAGCCTGCGGGATCGGCCTAGGGACGGGGAACCGCGCCGGAGCCCGCGGATCCTTGGAACGCGCCCGCTGCCGCACCCCCGGGTTGCCGGCGCAGCGTCCCTGCCTGTTTTCTCGTGCTGATATTTTCCCTTCCCTTCCCGACCGTCTTCCACTGTTGTCTCAGGGCCTCGACCCCGGGTGCTGCAGGATTGTCTCAGGATTTCGACTCCTTTGGATGGAGTCAGTCCTGGCATTTCCCCGAAAAGGGGGTCCTCTTGATCTTTTCCTCCATTAGCTTCTCTTGGTGCTTCTAGCCCCTTTTCGCGAGCCCTAGGGGTGGTGTGTGGTTCGGGATTACCCACCTGGGCCCCCTCCCTGTACAGTGGTCTCAGCCTTTGCAGCCTAAACCGGTGGGGGCTGAGGTGGGGCTTGTTGGGCAGATCTTGGTGCTAGGATGAAGTGTTAGGGACTCTAGGTGCTGCCTCTCTGCCATGGCCAGGCCTAGAGCCCTTCTGGAAAATTTGCCCCCACAGACTAGGTCCTGGGGTGTGTGTGATAGAAGACAGAGAGCTGGGCACGCCAGGCCAACCTCGTTGCTAAGCATTTATGCATGCATGGCTGTCAGTTTAGCAGTTTTCTGCAGTAGATGAGGGAGGGGGGTATTTAGGTAGGGGGTTCATTCTGTCGGGAGCCCAGCACGGAAGAGACAGTGGCGAGGGGTGGGAGGGGGGCTGTTGACTCACAGTAGCATCTTTTGGCCGTGGCTAGTGACTTTTGGCATTCTCTTCAGCCTTGCAAATCCTGCAGACCAGGCAGGGCGTTTGTAATTTGGGACTTGATTTTGATCACCCGAAAGGAAAAGCATCAGGTAGTTTGAGCACCTCCCAGTGTGGTCCTGAAAATGGGGCTCTTTCTTAGAGCTATTGACTTTTGGAATAATTCTTTCTGTGGGAGTGGGACTGGGCTCTTGTGCATTGTAGGATGTGTGGCGCTTCCTAGTCCTCTTTTCTTTGTAGCCTGCCCCCACCCCAATACCCACATCAGTTAGAAAAACCAGAAATGTTTGCAGATATTGTCAACTGAAGCTTCTAGGGCAGATTTACCCCTTATGGAGAAAAGACTGAACAAGAGTTTGCCTATCCTATAGAGTAGTGAGCTCCTGTCCTGCACCTAGAGAGCACCCTAATGCAGTCACCAGACTGGGTCGTAATGACCCCACCAGCACCTGTGGGAGATGAAAGAGGAGCTAGAAACCTGTGGGCATTTTCTGTGCCTGCTGGATGCATAGCAGTGACTGGTCAGTCTGGAATCTGTGAATTTTATGAGACTATTTGGGGGACTTGTATATGGCATTGTCATGGTGCATTTGTTGAGGGAGGGAGGTAGGGGTAAATGCAGTGGTACTCAGGGTTCACTCCTAGCACTGTGCTCAGAGGAGCATGTAAGTTTAAGTCATGTGCATGTTGGCAGAAAAGCCGACATAGTAATCCACAAGCAGTCTTTACAAGGTTATGCTTTATGCACCGCTCACTTTTTGCAGAGATCTCTTTAGTATTTAGGATGAGGTAGGACCCAGGCCGTGGGTATGAGGGAGTTGAGGGTCTGACTGTATTTCAGTGGAGTATAACTGTGCAGCATGAACACAGGGGTTACTTGTGGAGTTCATTTCTAGTTGATCAAAGCATTCGTATCACTGAGCCCTTGCTTTTTGTGCAGAGAAATATTTACTGCTGAGCCTAGATTATTGCATGGGTCAAGGAAGCATTTCCCAGTCCTTCCCTTTTTTATTGTTAATTGAACATATGAAGATGTATCAGGATTTCTCCTTAACATTTCTTGGTCAATTGGAGAGGTCTTTGGATCAGCTGGAAGTGTTCTTGGGTGTTGGATATTATTGTTTACCTTTATTTTAAGTTTTAGTTTTGGGGCCACATCCAGTGGTTCTCATGACTTATTCCTGGCTCTGCTCTTAGGGACCACTGCTAGCAGTGTTCGGGGAACCATATTTGGTGCTGGGGATTGAACTGGGGTCAGCTGCTCTGCAAAGCAAGTATCGTACCTACTGTACTATCTCTCTGATTCCTCCTTTGTTGCTTTTAGGAAGGGATCTGGATAGGGAGGTCACTTCTTTCTCAAAAAGAAATTATTGGGAATCTTAAGAGCCTTGGATACTAACTCATTTATCTTTATCAGTTGAAATAAGAGCTGTGTACAAAATTAGACAGGAATATTTAGCGTTGTCTTGATGTGACAGTGTCATCTGGAAATAGTCCCAGCATTCCTGCTGAATTACAGCAGGGGCTTAGTCGGGTGAGCCCGTGGAGGGGAGAGTGTGTGAGTGGGGAAGTCTCTTAGAGTGGGGAAGTCTCTGGCTCCAACATCAGAGCCGTAAGTGAGATGTTTCTGAGAGTTTTTTTCCCCCTTCACTTAGCACACCTAAGTGAAGTCAGTGTCCATAGCCTGTCCAGAAACAAATAATTTGATGTGGGGTTTCAGACCTCTCAAACTTTGCTCTCAGGCCAAGGACCCAGAGAATATTTCAAATATAAAGATACTCTGAAAATCCCTTTTCTGTCTTTGTAATTGGTTATAATTTATTTTTAACATGTACATGTGGAGATCACAGTGATAGGGCATTTGCCTTGCACGCAGCCATCCCGGCCGAGCTGGGTTTGATTCCTCCGCCCCTCTCGGAGAGCCTGGCAAGCTACCTAGAGTATCTTGCCCGCATGGCAAAGCCTGGCAAGCTACCCATGATGTATTCAATATGCCAAACACAGTAACAACAAGTCTTATGATGGAGAAGTTACTGGGCCTAGCTCGAGCAAATGAATGAACAATGGGAGGACAGTGCTACAGTGCTACATGTGGAGATCATAAAGAAGTGGAGTATGTTGTACTCAGCTCGGTGTGTCAGTGTCTCATAGATCTGTTGTAGTTGAAAGTAATTTGTTCTTTTCTCAAGAACCCTTGACTTGCTTTAAAAATTATCCCTTGGGACTGAATCAATAGTACAGTGGGTAGGGCACTTGCCTTGCATGTGGCCAAGATGGGTTAGTTCCCTGGCACCTCACATGGTCCCCAGAGCCCCACCAGGAGTGATCCCTTAGTGTAGAGGCAGGAGTAAGCCTTGAGCACTACTGGATGTGACACACAAATCAAAACAGCCCAAAACCATCCTCCATTTCCAATTGGGCTGGGACCAAGGGGCTAAATCTGGAGAATTCCTGGGTGCCATAAGGGCTGGTGCTCCTCTACATCCTGTTCCTGAAGAAAAGCTCATTTTGAAATATTGGGTAGATTTATTTATTTACTCCTCATTCAACAATTACAGATTATTTGCATGGAGAATGGCGTTCAGGTAAATATGAAAGTGAATAAGGCTTGACCCTTTCAGTCTTCTTGGACTCCAGGGGTGTGATAAAAGAATGCAGCCATGGGGGAACTATGTCCTGTGTGGGTGTGTCCCCTTTCCCTTATATGTACGTGTAGCAGATTCCCACTGACTGCACTCTTAGGAAAATCCCACTTCTCCATTCCTTTCTCTTCTCTCCCCCAGCCCACCAAAACAGGGTGCTGGCTATGGACAGAAAGAACAGTTTCTGACACTCGGCAGCCCCGGTTATTTCTAGTTCTGGGTTCTTAGATGAGCGGCTTGGCCCAATAAGCCATAACAGGATGTCTTAGACTTTCCCACTCTCAGTCCCTTTCACCCAAGAAAATTTTGCATGATCCAGGTATATAGGCTTATAAAACATGTGTGCACATCAAACTTTTATTGATAATAAATCATAAGAAATTTATTTCGAAACAAGTGTTTTGAAAGTTATGTGACCCCACATGGAACTGCTTAAGAAGCTTGGAGCTGGGGTACACCCTGCATGCATGCAGGTTTTAGATGCCTGTGGATGAGGTACCCTGCGGACCCTGTGGGGGAGATAGAAGTGGTGAAAAGTGTCCCTTCTCTCCAGACACTCTCCATGTGGTAGGGGAGATGACCAGATTCTTGGTGTCTTACTAGAATCTGGAGGGGACTTAGAGCATCAACAGATAGGAGAATTTAAAGTTTATTTTGATTTTTTCCATACCTGGCGGTGATCAGACTTTATATCTGGCTCTGAGCTCAGGGATCACTCCAGACAGGGCTCGGGTGACCATATGGTATGCCAGGGAGCCAGCCCAAGCAAGGTGAGATCCCTGTCCACTGTACATCTTTCGGACCCCAAAAGACAAGAGAATTTAGAGTATAAGAGATGTCTGGCTGAGGGGGGCTCGGTGGGGAGGTGTGAAGAAATAGTACAGTGGGTAAGGTGCTTGCCTTGCACACAACTAACCAGGGTTGATTCCTGGCATCTAATATAATTTCCTGAACACTGCCAGGAGTAATTCCTAAGCCCAAGTCAAGAGTAAGCCTTTAGCACAGCTGGGTGTGACCAAAAAACAAAATAAACAAACAAAAATCCAGGGGAGGAGGGAGCAGCATTTGGAAACAGGGAAATGTATGTGGTAGGGTTTAATTTTGGCTGAAGCATTGAAGCATAAAGGGATGGAAGATGAAGCTGGAGTAACATCTTGTTTGTTTATTTTGGGGCCACACCTGGTGATGCTCAGGAGTTACTACTGGCTCTGCACCCAGGAATCACTCCTGGCAGTGTTCAAAGAATCATATGGGTTCCTGGGTATCAAATTCTGGTTGACAGCTTGCAAACAAGCAGCCCATCTGCTCCAACTCCTATAGTAACATCTTGAAAGGCATTGCAGGCCAGGCCAAAGCACATAACTTTGGTTTTGCAGGCTGA